AAATCAAGTTAAACTAAATTATATAAAAAAAAACTTCTTCTAATATTTATCTTTCTATTTATAAAATTTAAATAAAAAATCTTATTTAAAAAAAAAAAAAAACTCTTTCTACTCAAAATTATCACTACACAACAATTGAACCGATTTTCATTTAAGATTAAGGGCTTGTTTGGTGAAGCATGTTGGAACTTTTGCTTTTTTTATACTGTTTATGAGTGGTAAATTTAAATTTTTATTGGAGAAAAAATTTAAAAATTACTTTTAGATATAAGAAAGAATGAGTAAAAAAGAAGTTTATGAAAAATAAAAGTTTAAAACTTTTGAATTTTTACTGTTTAAGATTATTTTAAAGTTAAAAAAAAATTTAAAAATCTAAGTTTTTAAGAAGAAAATTTAAACTTATGAAATATGAATGGTATCAAAAAGTTGAAGTACTTGGAAGTTGAAGTACTTGGAAGTTGAACCAAACACGCCTTAAGCATGCTGCAAGCTTGAAAACAATGGGCCTGAAATAAATTTGTTCGGTTTAAAAGTAGGCCTGGTTAATTGGGCCTAGGAATAATAAGAAGAATTGTTTAAATGGACTTTAAATCATGGCCTTAGTCCGTCGGCTATGTAGTGTTGTTCCGGCCTTGTTCTCTTGCTGTGTGTTTTAGTTTTCTTTAATTTTTATTTCGACTTTACCACTGAAAAAACTATTAGTCAAAGCAGCATTGTCAACAAGCACTATATGTAGCTTTTGTATCCCCCAAACCATAGAAGATAGATCATTCAAGACAAATATGTAAGTTATTGGAACAACCGAAGAAAGTTGTTTGCATATGCCATTGGCTTGATATCAGGATGAGGCTGTCATTCACAAACAGAAAGGTATTGTTACAGAGTGTTATGATGTGCAATTTGAAAGTTTAAGAAGGGATATCACAATGCAAAGGTACTCACCACCGCTCAGAATGTAACAATGTTTGGCTTCAAATCAGGAGCTTCATAACGGATGAAAGCACCCTTGTTGCTCATCTGCAGAAACAGATTGCAGAACCCTGTTAACAATTATATCTAGAATCATAATAACAAATGTAGTAGCTGGAAAAGGAATGAATAACCAACAATTTTTGTTATCTTCCCCTTTCGTCCTCCCTAATATTCAAACCTAAAAACTTGTCTAATTCATTACTGCTATAAAACCAAAGTGTTGAAATTCTATTCTGTTTAACATACATATGTGATTGGCTAATGTGGTAAGCCAACAGTTTTCGTTAACAACGAGAACAAATAAAATAATAATAAAGTGAACAGTTCTGTAGCAGCCATGCTAGTCCTCCAATAAACACATGAATCTAAACAAAAACCTAATGAGGTTAGTCATGTACTTTTTCCCCTTTTCTTCTTATAGTCAACTTTCATTGTTCTTTGCTATATTGGTTATAAACTAATAAAGCATAGATGTGGGAATTCCATAAAACTCAAAATATAAATAACCGTGTTTAGTTTTAATAAAAATAATTTTACACATAGAAATACAATTAACAGATCAAACTATACAAACAAAGATTGTAAAAAAAAAAAAAAAGAAAGGCATCATTATTAAATTTGAAAGAACCAGAGAAAAACTCTTACCTAATTACTTTTTTCTCCATATATCATGCATTTACATATTCCCTATCCTTAGAACTTGGAAAATGCTTTGAAACAATATTTTGAATTGTCAATACTTTCCAGTCGCCAAAGACCATCATTCAAGCCAAATTCAACTTTCTATTTCATGCATTAATGGTAAGCATCATAAAGCTGATAACAGAAACAATCATCTTGAATGGACACGCAGCAGACAGCAGTGGAAATACAATCTTGTCGGAAAGAAAATTTGGAGTTGATAAATACCTCAATGAGGGGATCCCGACCAACAATGGAAAATACTTCCTTTGCCAATTTCTTTGTCACTTTTGCGCTCGGATCATAGATTTTGTATACACGGTGTTGGAAACCTGACATTTTTCGCTTCCTAAAGAAATAAAGCAGTAGAAGTATGGAGGAGAATGAGCAATCACAGTATAAGAAAGTTAGTGGAGTTAATCAAGGAATTAGGAAGACAGCAAATCAAGCAAAATCAGTGCCACAGGACAACGGCTATGCTATATCAGTCAAGTAATATTTACATTCCATATTTGTGTACATAATTATAGGCACCAGATATGTTTTTGCATCTGTATATATATCAGTTTCTTGTACATAATGAATCAAGGGAATACAATTGAGTATTTTCCAATACACCATCCTCTTCTTCTTTACTTCCACATGGTATCAGAGCAGTACGATTCCTGCATCTGAATACTCATCTTTGTAATCTAATTTTCTGTGAGAAAGGAAAATCCCAAGTTTGTTCTTTATTTTCCAACCAGATCATGGCCAAAGCCAAAACATCACTTACCATTCAAAATTTCCACCAAATGGCTAGTCTGGTGTCCGTTAAACTATCTAGCACCAACTTTCTTTTGTGGAAATCTCAAATCTATCCACTAATTCGAAGTGCTCAGCTTCTCCATCACCTTGAGGAGGAAGCTCCAGCAATGACTGTCATTAAGAATGACAAAGAGGTACCCAACCAAGACTATGAAGTCTGGTTAAACAACGATGGACTCCTTACTAGTTGGTTGCTTGGAACCATGAATGAAGATTCTCTAAGCTTGGTTGTTGGTTCTAACTCAACCTACCAGATTTGGAAGTGTCTCCAGGACCATTATTTGGCGGCCACAAAAGAACAGGAGTTGTATCTAAAGGGACAATTGATTGTCAAGAAAGGTGATGATGAATCTCTTGAAGACTTCATCAGAAAATTCAAGAAAACATGTGATAGTCTTGCAGCGATTCAAAAACCCCTTGATGATCTTGACAAAGTTTTTCAACTCTCCAAAGTTGTAGGATCATGCTATCAACCCTACAATCTGGCTGTTCTCTCAAAGGCCCCGTATCCTACATTTAACCAATATATTGCAGGATTACAAAATTATGAACAGGATCTGCAAGTCCAGAAACAAGAAAACAAAAATAAAGCTCCTGTTTTCAGTCAGGTGTTTGTCGCTCAAAGAGGAAGAGGTCATCATGACAGAGGCTATGGAGGTAGACATTTTAATTCCAGGGGAAGAGGATTTGTCCAAGCTGGTAACTACAACCGGTTCGGTAACCATAAAAATCAATTAGTCAACAATAATCCTGCACCCCAGCAACACATGACGCAGAAGAGATTTCAGACCAAAAACATGACAACCCAAGGTGAAAGCTCTTGCCAAATATGTGGAATTAATGGTCATATTGCCGTAAAGTGTTGGTACAAGTTTGATCATGCATATCAAAGTGAAGAGCTACCTCAAGCCCTTGCAACTCTATCTTTGGAAGATGAAAAGGATCCAAGACATTATGCTGACACCGCAGCTATTGATCATATGACCTCAGAAGCAGGTAATCTCTTTGTGAAAAGACCTTATAATGGTAATCAAAAAGTTTACACAGGTGATGGAACGCCCTTGCAGATCTCACATGTTGGATCTATGTCAGTTGGCCCTTTAAAACTTAAAAATGTTTTAGTTGCGCCTGAACTCAAAAAAAATCTTATTTCTATTAGCAAGTTTACTGATGATAATAACTGTATTTTTGAGTTCTCATCTACTGGTTTTGTGATTAAGGATCAAACAACACAGGCAATTCTGGCCAAAGGTACTAGAAAAG